TCAAAGGATAAGAGGATTATCCTGTATTTCAAGGGATTTTATAGCCCAGCCTCAGCTCATAAATCAGTTGTTCTCAGTGGTCGGCGCTCATTAACGAGGTCAAGTGGCCACATCACAAGTGACCGCAGTAGTCTCTTCACTATATGAATATATATAGTGGATGCCAGGCTGAGTGTTTCCGTATTTAACAATTTATACCACACCTTGCTTGTATTGGTATAAATGAGTACTTTACTTTTTCGTTGACTCAAAGCAGAAAATTCATCTTAACAAACGAAATACTGTAGAAGAAATATTTTTATAGATCTATTCGTATTTTTAATTTGTAAATTCTGTTTATAAGTAATGCAGATAACATGCAATAGTCAAAAGTGGTTAAAAGAAACACAATTTTAAAATAAATCTAAGCTTTTATTTCAAATTTAAATTCAATTAATATTTGTATATTTTTATCTTAGATTACAGATAGATTGTATACAAATAAATGCTTTTCCAAAACAAGTTAAGTTTTTCATCCATGTGCAATAGGATCACCATGTTTTATAATACATGGAAAAAAATACACGGTAAGCTTAAATAGAAAAATAATAAAGATACAAAATTTTAACGTATATATTTGAAAGATTAAGATAATCAGTGCATAATGATTCGTCATGGTGCAATACAATTACTGAATCCTTTGATTTATATCTAAGTATAAACACAAAATATGTTTTCGTTATTAATAATTGATAATGACCGCTATTTTAAATAATACATGTATATTTATTTATAAACAACATGTACCTACATATGCATATTTGTATTATATCAGAAAAAAACTTCCAAATTCAAATTTAATAATTGAGCTGATATGGGAAAATTTTAATCCAATTACATGCAACACTGAGTAAAAACGCTTTCTAAGAACAAGGAATAACGGAATTTTTGCATCTGTTTTAATTTTTAAAAGTAATTGCCAGCTAAGTTAGCTGACTAAATTTTGATACGTTTTTGATACTCGATACCCTATTTACATATTCTAAGATGTATAACTAAAATTCAAATTTGGAATAAAAGATAATTCTAATTTTACAAATTTATTGTACCGTATGTCAAATTTTATTTATAGAGAAAATAGCTAGCTTTAATACTCATTGTAAACAATTTATTAAGTGATCGATAATTTAAAATTTGTATTATCTCATATAATATGAAAGAAAGTACTCTATATACAGCGTAACCATAATAAATGAAATTTTAAGCCTTCATATTCAGGAATCAAATATCACAGTAGTTGGTAAACATACGAATACGATGGGCTATTCTATTTATTTTATTTGTTCAAACAATAAATCTTACATAAAAACTCAGTGAAATGGAAAACAATTGTCGAATATAATACAAACGGGTGCACTTTAAAACACCCCAGTAAATGACATAACTGAACAATCCAATAATTCGAAGACCAAGTAAATTAAGCTTAATGGAGTTTGAAGTTATTGGCATTTCGTTCACTCGTGCCAGACGAAGCACGACGCTTAAAGCAGATTGAATGAATAGAGAATGATTATTTTTCATTTTACTGTCGAATGATAATGAACGGAAAGCTTCTATTTTATAATTAGACAAAAAGTGCCAGATATTATCTGTGCGTAGATTTCAGAAGTAGAAAGACCAAAAAAAATAAATAATTTGTAGATGGCGTATCAAGATAAAATATTTGTCAAATTTTAAGTTAGACCTTAAAGAACATAACTGTGAAACTGCATCTAATTTAGTGCAGTAGTTTTTGCGTGATAACATAAAACATAACAAACATACAGACCGACAGACAGGCAAATGGCAGATTATTGTTTTCACTTCTATTCTCTTCATTAAAACCCCTTAATTTTTTTTTTTTTAAATAACTCCTGTACAGAAATTCGCTTGTTACAATTTTATTACAGTAGAAAGATTCTGAGTAGTACTTGCTTAAAATACTTCTACTTTATTTCTGTATGTCCAATATGTTAAACCCTTTTAATAATTTTACTCGCCTACTTATTTCTCGATTTGCCCAATGTTTATCTGGCAGAGAACACCATCCGGTGTTAAGTTCGCCAATATACATAAAATTACACTATGCATGAAAGTTTAAATAAGTAAATAATAATATAAAAAGGACAGATTTGATCTCTTGTAATGGATAAACTCAAAAATTACATGCATGAGCAACATATGATTTTAGATAATTCTGCCCACCCGTGCGAAACAGGGGCGGATCACTAGTTAAATAACATCATCATCATATCAGCCTTTAACTGTCCACTGGTAAATATAGGTGTTCCTATTGGCGGGTTTTCCACGCTTAGCAGGAAAATTCAAATTCAGTTAAGCTTCGGTGATGTTTAAAGTGGGACGCTGCTGACTATCTCTTAAGCATAAAATTAGTTTTAGTCGCTCCTTACAACACCCACGGGAAAGAAAGTTGAAGCCCATACACTGCCGGGACTACATGTCCGTATTTTTATTTAAATACAAAAAATACGAACTAATTAAAAACCTCCTAAAATTCTCTTAAAAAATAACTAATAAAAGCTCAACATCTAGGTAACAATGGTATGTCCATTGTTCCTACATTGTTTCGGCAACTCAGATTCTGTTTACTTGGCTTTCAGGGCCAAATGTTTTCTTTGTACTAAGCAAAATTTGAAGTTATTTATAACTTAATGCTTTGTTCAGCAAAGATAAATAGCGAATTCAGTTGTGATAAAGTTGATTTGCTATCAACGTGGAATTAAAATCAATCACAAAAGCATTCTTACACATATTAACCTTGCAAACACGAAAAAAATGTTTGCGAATATGACATACGATGCAAAATGAAATGATCTATGAACACATAAGATTGAAAATGTTTGAGTTTAGAACGCGGTATAGTGTGTCGATATAAGCAATGGTAGACCTTTGCCTCGCAACAAATAGTATTGTGACCGGGCTAGTCTAGTATCGTGTCTCGTGACCGGTTGATAGATCGACTAAAATGCGACTCGTTTACGAAGCAAGCTGGCAACCTAATGATGCGTTTAGGCTGACTCGCTATACTATTTTAATCCACAGGAAACGATGTATCGGTTGTAACAAATTTAATGTAAGAGCATCAAGAGGTTATTTATTCGACACTTTATTGCACCAAAATTACATTAATTATTAATAGATTTTGAATAAGTATACTATGATGAGATTGATTGTAAGAAAAATTATCAAAATCAATTTAGAACTGGTAACTTAACGTAGTCATAATTATAAATATAGAAGAAATGATCTTGCGGAAGTTATTTATAGTGTTGTTTAACATAATTGTTTTCCAAAAGCTACAAGTATACATCTCGTCTTTCTAACCTAAATTACATCTTCCTAGAAATAGATCCAAATTCAAATTAATTTTAGGTACAACATGTACAAAATTGAATCAAGTGAATCTACGAACAAAAATATATTCTCGATAAAACATGAAAAGGTATCTATTTGAAATGTTTTCACGCATCACCAGACAGTCGAGATAACTGTTTGTTTTTCTTGGAAAAGCGATATTAAATTCACCTCGTAGCGAGTGGATTTGGAAATAGATACATATAAGCAAATTTTTCTTATAACCCTATACGTTCCTTCTGACCTATCCCAAAAGTAGACGTCTAATTTCAATATTTTTCTTTTTTATGAATAATGATATCTGCCACACAAATACATCAATCGCCTAATCTTTAAACTAGGATGTTAGATATAGAACATCTGGGATAAATTAGGAACTCATAGCATCCAAACTAGAATCAATTCAATAGTGTTCGTTTTTTAATTGACCCGATTGATAATCGAACCTGGAATATTACACCATACGAGTATTATAGGAGCCGTCCTCGATTTATAAATATGCAAAAAAATATTACAAAGCTAAACTCCAAAGAAGAGGAGATTCCCAATTGGCCTGTATTATGCGTGTGTTACGCTATTTTCCCAATACGCCAGTATTATGGGTTTATACTACGTAATATCTTCGTCAATTATTAAATCGGCCTCAGTCATTATGTTATTATTTTTGTAATAGATATAGTTTGCTGTTATTGGTGTTGTGTTACTTTTTAAACCGCTGTTTTTAAGCGTAGCAAAACTCTGCTTATTTTGAAATAAATAATAACGTACACTGCAGTTTCACAGAAATTTTCTCCCATGAACGCTCAGGCTGTGGGATGAGCTCTCTGCTGAGGTTTTCTCTAGAGACTATAGTATAGAGTTCTTCAAAAAGGTAACTACAAAAAGGTACTACGGTATCTTCAGAATCGGTAACACGCATGTGACACCCCTGGTGTAGCAGGCGTCCATAGGCCACAGTGGTCGTTTACTGTCCAACGGGCTTGGATGATGATGGCTTGTGTGCCATATTTGTGGTATAAAAAAACAATACTTCAGTATTATCAAGCTCTTTTCGAATTTTTTTAGATCTAGTTTCTACGCTTGGCAGACGAGTTGGCAACCACAGTTTAGCTTCGGTGATGTTTTACGAAAGACGCTGCAGTCCATCCCTTGACCATTAAGTTCTGTTAGTCGTCTCTTACGACACCTACGAGAAAGGAAGGGCCCATTATAGGCCGAGACTACACAGCATATTGATGTGTATTATTCGTTTTAAAATAATAATAGTGAGATTACTAATCCATAGAATCAACATTATCTAACTGTGCCACTATTTAAAATTTTTGTTTTTATTTATGAAATTATTGTTTTTTTTTTGGAGCATTGTTTAAGCTACATTCATAATTTTATTTTTCGATGTATTTATATAACATATAATAATTTGCATGCCTACTGCACTTACGGCAATTAAACAGGTACCAAACTTAGTAAAAATAATTTTAAATTAGTACAAATATTTTTAAGACTATTTAATTCTAATAAACTCATTTCATTACAGATTTTTATCACTTGGTGCAATTTGGAATATTTTTTTATAAATTAGTTCTCTTCCAAAGGAAAGTACTCACCAGTGTATAGAGGGCACTTGCATATGCTGCGTGTTTGACATGCAGCGTCCGACAGCAAGAGAGGGTTGTGTCTTGTTCGTGGGCTGTCCACGCCTTCATCTGTAAACAAAACTAGCATTCACTTCATCACTTTTATCACAAGCGGATAATGTGGGCGACAGTATGGTCAGACAACGCTTGACTGCCGCCCAGGGGTCTCAAGGGTTTTGTTTTTAATGGATGGAGATGAAATGATAACCCCGCCTGCCCTAATGGAATACACTGGCATCCCTCAGGGATGCCCTGGGGGCACCCCTCAGGGATAATTGGTGAGATGAGATATGATAGATGAGAATGAAAATGCATGCAGTCAGCTCATCAAGATGAATACACCTGTGATTCAGCACGATGGCTTCCAGGGGTGACTACATGAAGGTCAACCTGACAGAGTATATTGGGCTGTTAGTCCACATTACTAACAATCCCCTTTCCCCCCCCCCCCGGTCTCAAGGGTTTCCAACCTAAAGTTTTGATAATTTTAAATACATATTTTGTCATCTAAAAATTATTGTAACTGGCTTTGTGCCTCGAAATAACTTAAAACTATTGTTCGATGATCCATGTCAAAGACCTTCGTGTATAATGAAGGTGGCCTGGAAACTTTTATCAGAGGGCACCACCCTCACACGAGTTAATCACAAAGTTGTGACTTTGTACACAATTGTCATCAACCACCAAACAATTTGAAGTTCCAGTCTGAAGGTGAGTTATGAAACTTTTGTAATTGAGCATAGCATGACAAAATACAATTTTATTGTTGCAATATAAAAGCAAAATATATGTAATAGTATGAAGACAATTTTAATTTTCCAATATCCAATGGACGTGCACGGCATGACGTTACGTCTACGTTTTATTACAAGTTTTCCGTCTGTTGCGTTGGTGTACTGTAATACAATATATTCCCTTAATCGTCTCTCCAATATGTTGTATATACTCAGAATAAAAAAGAATAGTAAAACTTACGGTTTTCTTAAATATTATTATTTATTTGTAAATTACATATATACATGTGTACTTAAATGTGCATATATGTTAACAGAGATTTAAATGAGTATCTGTTGAATTTCTCAACTCTTCTCAACTGATAACAACTTTCCGAAACTTGCAGTAAATTTAAAAAATGACGATTTAAAAATGCTTGCAAATAGATAAAGATGATTGAATTTGAACTTATAATGACTATGTAGTCTATGATTCGTAAACTGACCATTCGAAAATTAAATCGTGAGAATAGTAATAGAGTGTCGCGACCCTGTCCAGATAATAATAAAACCCCTATATGTATCAATCCGAAGACCGATTTTGGCTAGGCAGGCAGCATTCGGAAAACTATGCCACATCTTCTCATCTAAAATACCTCAAAATCTGAAGACGAAGGTTTTTAACCAGTTCCTGCTACTAGTGATGTTTTATAAAACCAAAACATAGTCCTACACTGTTTCTCGTATGAAAAATCTTCCAATTACTAAGCGAGCTATGCTCACAGTTGCTTTGTGTGACAGAATCGGAATCGAGGACATCCGCAAAAGAACCAAATTTATCGACATAGCTCGATACATAGCATAGAAGAACCGATAATGAGAAAAAAAATTCTTGAGTGACTTCCCATATGAACTAATGCAATTTAGGCGACTGCCCGCTGAATGGACTGACGACCTCAAATGCATTACAGGAAGTCAATAGATACAGGTGGCTTAAGACCTTTTTTTATGGCAGTCTATGGAGAAGACCTATGTTCAGCAGTGGACAGATAATGGCTGAGATGATGATGTATCAATCCAGAATATAATATATTGCATTTTGCTATCTGTACACCAAAAATTCTAATTTAAGCATGAATGATTAACAAATATCCAAACACATTTGTGGAGTACAGATAACATATTTATAGTTTTAATTTTCAAAATTCAAAAATTGTCACTTCCTTCAATTGTGTTTTCTTTTGACCCCCAACAGGACCCTAATTTTCTAAGATCCTTCTATTAATACACATATCTCTCCAAACTCCATTCCTGATTTTCTTTGTCGCCTACAATATTAATAGAATCCATGGTTTAAATATTCTATCGTAGGGCAACGTTAATACGTAATACTAATATTTATATGGCTAAAAATAAAAAAGAAATGAAAGATAATATTAATAGGGGAGAAAATCAATAAGCCGTGAACTTCCGCAATAATATTGTAACAAATGATTGAACTTTGAAACAAATATTGGATGAATCTAACAAGCAAATAATTAAATTTCGCTCATAACCTGAATCGAATACTTGGTGATCAAACGGGGTGTATTAAATTTATAAAACAAAATTAGAATTCATTAATTTAATTAAGAAAGGAGTTTATTTCGATTCGATTGGTTTTCGTATATTGCGCAATAAGTTCCGATATTGATGATTCTTTTTCAATAAACAGAACTCTTATAAAGTATTACCCCTTACAATCCGTGCCTAGTAATGGGACATTTGTAATTTGTTACAATATTTTTTTTATTTAAAACATATTTTTATATTATTAAAATAAGCGTGCCCAGGACTTTGTTCACTGACCAAGATGGATAAGAGATGACTATATCTTTCTCCATCACAAATAATTGTGCCAATTTTTATGATATATTTAGTACCAAGAGACAAAAAAACAAACAATGAAACATTCATATCGTTAGTGAGGAACAAAAAGTCATTATTTTTAAAAACATACAACTATCAAAATATAAATTTCAGAATTCAGTAATTTTATCTAGTAATCTTTAAAACTTAATCAAACATTTCCCGACTGCAGTTTAACACAAAATCATTTTAATGTACTACTGTATAATGTTATACATCTCTGAGTTTAGTCGTGGAACGCTTGACTATAATCCGAAGAGCTTGCAATCGAATTCCAGTCTCAACTTCCAAATTTTCCAAATTCAGTGGTTACAAATGATTGCCTCTTGCTTTATAGTATTGTTTACAACAGGTAATAAACATAAAAAATGTGAACAGCATGGCAATCAACATTGAAAAAAAAATATTTTTACGTTACATAACTAGGTACCAAAATCATGAATTACAAATTATTATTTTTTATTATTCATTAAACAACTCAAAACCTATTCCTGCTTCCGTTGCCGTACTTTATGGCAGTGTATGTGAAAGGCGTAAGTTTAATAGTGAATATATAATAAAATAATGATGATAAAGAAATGTAATAAGGATATTGAAACGGCACTTTCTTCAAACTACATTATGTACATTTTTATAAAAATGCCCTTTTTCAATAAAAAGAAACATCTGTTTTCGTTTCTTAAGATAAAAAGTGCTCCGTCTTTCAAATTGAAACAAAAAATACACATTTACAAAACTAAATACTGCATAAAAATTGATAGGGCGGCTTCGGGATTTTTTTTAATGGCTGAAAATGCATTGCAACCCCACCTGCGCTATCGGTATACACTGGCGAAGTACCAGTGAGAGATAATAGGTGAAGATGAAAAGGCAGGTTAATCAACTTATCATGACTAATTCAACAATAAATTTGTCACAATAGTTTCCAGGGGGAACCGCGTGGAGGTCGACCTGATAGGTTACATTGATAGCAATGTGGACTAACCTCCATATTGCTAACAATCCCTTCCCCCCAGCTTCGGGAATTAACATAAAGTACGTTATATCTACTACGTCTATGAGCATGTACGAATATCGTAACACTAAATTTTTATTCATTAAAATGGTTAAACCTGTAGAATACACTAATTTTCGTTCATGTGTCTACTTGGAAACTGGATAGGATATTAATAACGAAAGTACCCTCTAACTCAATTCCAAACGTCACAACATCGCTGTATCGCCGACAACTAAAGAAAATACAACGTCACGATATAATATTATCACTATTACAATATCTAAAAACAGATTTTTACGTCAAGGAATTTTATTAAGGTATTTCAACGCGTCTGCTCGTAAAGGTTCATGAGTCTTAAATTGCAAGAATGTCAACCTCAGGCAAAAAAATGTGTACCGAGGGTGAGCCGTGGCGCATCTCATCCATTTTTACTCACAATATCATATTGTTAACGTGAAAACATAATTTATACCACACCTGCTCCGGTAAATGGCTACTTTCTTCCCCAAAAGAGGAAAGAAAGTAATGATGTCTTTAGTTGATTTTAAAATAGCGGAAATTTAATTACGTTAAAAAGGTGAATCCATTTTGCACAGTAACATTACATTAAATTTATATTAAGGCTTTTGTTCCAGGCCCCCATCACTTTAAACATAGAATGTTAATAAGAAGTCTATGCAACCAGTTCAATTTAAAATTTTATTTAAAAATTATATTTAAAATATATCTTTTATAATACCCACCGATGTCATTTTTTTAACAGAAGCACTTTATAATATAATATTTTTCCATTTTATTCTTTTGGTACTTCTATATTACTGCCATATACTAATATAACGGCAGTGACGACTCTTACATAACATATTTATTATTTACTCTGTTTTTTTTTACTAGATTTTTTTAGATATAACTTATCATTAGTACGTCGGTTGCGTTTAACAATTTCTGAAAGTCGTGGAAATAAATTCTTATTAGTTTTAACAAATACACACACTTCAAATATGTACAATGAAGGTACTGTCAATATATTATATTATTTGAAATACGGCATACAACTATCAGTATTTGGGGGGAAGGGATTGTTAGTAATGGAGACTGAGAATCCCATTACTAACAATATACCCAACCAGGTCGACCTCCTCGCGGTCTCCCCTGGAAACTATCATGGTTAATTCCTGACAAATTCATCATGATAAGCTAACTGGCCTGCTTTCATTCTCATCGATCACCCTTCACTGGTGCTCCGCCAGCGTATCCCGTTAGCGCAGGCGGAGTTACCATACCATTTTCACCCAATAAAAAAAAACTATCAGTATTTTTAAGATTATTTCTTTCTTCATTGAATTTCCCCAAAATATTATTCCTTACCGTAAATTGTTTTTTATTTCTTTTTAAATGGACACAGGCCAGCATTATCCAATCTGAACAATTGCTCGCCAAATTCAAAATGA